TGCCTGGGCCCCACGGTCCGATGATGGTCGACTCATCGCGGCTTGCTTTGGTGCCGTTCCGTTCGGGCCCGCCCCTTTCCTGTCCGCGAGGGACGGGGAGGATTGGGCACGTTGTCGTAGCGGAGCAAAGAGCCGCAGATGTTGTGGACGTTCATGTTTGCATTGACTGCGCAGGAACTGGAAGCGCTGCGACGCCCGTCGTTTGCGCGTAACCCCAGCAACTCCAGGTACCACCCCTGGTCTACATGCTTGTCTTGTCTGGTGGTGTGGCACCTGCTGCTACTAAAGCGACGGCCACCTGCTCGTGGGGAGCTATGAAGGTGGGACGGACTTCCGCTTTCGCCAGGCTAGGGTCAGACTTCGCCCACAAGTATGCTAAGACAGGTGCCGCCATCCACCCGAGCGCCAAAGAGGTTGTCAGAAAGTATGGGGTCTTCAGGCAGTTTTCAATGAAATGAGGCGTTGTGCGGGGCTGCAGGACGCCGTGATGGCGGACATGCCGGCACGTGACGCTAAGGACCTGGCGGGGCTGGGTCTTGAGCTCATGCGCATCAACCTCCTTCGACCGCATCCTCGGCCTTCCCCCCCAAGGCCCTCTGCAAGGTCTGTCACCCGCCCAAAGGCATGGCGATGGCGCTGCAAAGTCAAAGAGCTAGAGCCGCAAAGAGACTCTTCCCAGGATTTGCGCTTCAGTACAAGGGGTGAACCATCGGAGAGCCACGGCCCGCCTCGCCCTTTGACCTCGAAGTTGCTGCCCGCTCGGATGGCTCTGCCTTGAAGCCCGCCGTGGTGGGGGGGCTGGGGTTGTTGGAGCTGGTTGGGCGGTGAGCGTGGGGGGCGAGATGGAACCAGCAGCAGCTCGCCGAGAGGTTTTGCCTCACCCCTGTTCACATGGAGGTTTGGGCCAACTGGCTTGAGGAGCGAAAGAGAGTGCAGCGCAAGCGTCAAAGCCCAACCAACCAGGAGCTGGAATAAACTGAATGACGCTTACATAGTCACCCCTCTGGGGCGTCATCTGCTGCCCGCTGGTCGTCACCGACCTTGGTCGGCAGGGGAAATAGAAATAGAGGGGGAGGAGGAGGAGGAGGAGGAGGAGGAGGAGGAGGAGGAGGAGGAGGAGGAGGAGGACGATGCGGAGGACGATGAGGAGGACGATGAGGAGAAGACGATGAGGAGAAGACGAGGGAGGGGAAGGGAAGGGGAGCCTTGGAGGAGGAGAGGGGGGAGCAGAAGCCTAGGAGGGGGCAGGCCGGCGAGGCGCGGGGCGGGGGGGGGAGGGTGGATCGGGAGGGAGGGAGCCGGGAATGTCGGGGAGGCCCCTCGGGCCGCACAGGACTACCTGCAGGTGGAGTGTTTCGGCATACGTTTCGAGTTGTTGCCCGGCTTCGCAGGACGTCACCCACCCGCTGCATTTTCCCTGCATCGCGATCCTCTCCTTCATCCTACATATGACCAGTGTCAGTGCTGCTGAGCGTGATTCCTGACAGCGTATGAGGGTGCCGCTGCGTAATTATTTTTGCTCAAGGTCATCAAAGGGTGGGCGGGCGCGTGCAGTCGCAGTCACGCCCTTGCCAGCACTACCCACTCATTACGTCGACGGCTTACGCGCGGAGGCTTGTCGGTTCCCTGGCGACGCGCCCCATGTGTCCAGATTGTACGTTCTTGATGTTTTCCGTGGCGGTTCGATTCGATGAGATGACCCCAGAGGCGACGGTGTGGCTGCTGCGCGAAGAGATCGGCCAGGACTACTTCAGTGCACCCAGCGAGACAGTGCTCGGAGTGCTAGACGGGACCGAGGTGATGGCCACGCCAAGTGCGAGGAGGCACGGTGCTGGACGACTCGGGCAGCTACGTTGCGCTGACTGGCGAACGCAGTTTTTTCCCGGGCCCGCGGCTCAAAGGCCTGCACTACCTTTAATCCGGGCTTGTCCCTCCACAGGGGGAATATTCAAAAATAGTCAAACAATAATATGGGGACGATTTGTTTGCTATTCTTGACCATGTTTGAATATTTGTGGGGTATGTTTTATTCTTCGTCCGACCTAACACTACCTGCAGTCGCCTTCGGAGTCCACGTCTGATGACGAGGCAGCGTTCGACTCGGATGCTGACCCGTTCGCCGCAGAGCCTGCAGGTAGTCAGTCGACGCCAGTCGACGACCAGGTCGCTCGGTCTCTGAGCGCCGCGATCGGCAGGGTGGCAGCCCCCGTCCGCATCGACTGGACTGTGCACGTCATGCCAGAGGTGCTGCGGCTGATGGTCGGCCACCCGGCGCCGCCCCCGGCATCGACGCGGGTTTTTTGTTGTCGCTGTGGAACCTCCGGGTCCGGCACGATTCTAGGGGAGCGGACGGTGGCATGAGCATGAACAAAGCTCGGAGGTCCGCGCGGATCTCTCGGATCCGCGCTGGCCCCCTCTGGCGAGGCCACTCGCGCCGGGGTCCAGCGCGGATCCGAGGAATCCGCGGACCTCCGAGCTTTTATGTTTATGTCAGTTTTCGTTCCCCTGGCATCAGGCGTGCCCCCGAAATCCAGAGTTCGAGTGGGGGATCGACTACAGAACTCGGGCAAGTCAAAATGGATGTGTTCGTCGGATCTGCAGCACACGTGCGTATGATGCCCGTAGATTTACAAACATTCTACGCACCTCTTGTAGTTGCGACGGAAATGTGAATTCTCGTTCCCCTAATGATGTCGGAGCGCATCCTGCCATAGTTGGTGGCGGCCAGGTCGGTGGGCGCCCCGGCGACTCCCTCTCGAAGGCTCCCCGGCCGCGCGGTCCAGCGACTCTGGGCGGGGTCGCCAGACGCCCCCGGCCTCCCTGCGGGGCCCGGGCCGCCCGTCCGGGGGGCCCCTGCCTCGGGCTATGGTGTTCCCACGTACTTTAGCCTTGATCACCAGAAAGAATTTCGAGCACCAGAAACACTTGAGGGTTTTCACGTGTCGGGCCCTGGGAAGCGACACTCGTTCGACACTGGTTCGGCACTTTTCGGGGTGCTCGATATTACTTTTGGGATGTGGCCCCTTCAAGTTCGACGGGAGCAACAGGAGCCTCGGGGCCACGTCCCTCCTGCGTGGCCTCGCCATCCTGCACGAGGACCGCCTGGCCGGCGCGCGGAGCTTGCTCGGTGCCCCCCTTCCCCCTCGTGACCCTGCTCCCCCATCCAGTGTCTGCGCGCCTCTCGCCTGGCCGACGGGTCGGATGCTGAACATCGCGCGCGCTCTCTCTCTCTCTCTCTCTCTCGCGGCCGCTAGCCAGTGGGAGAACTCATTCCGATGCTACTCTGGTCTCTCTCCCTCTCTGTCAGGCTCACACGGACGGCAGCTTGAAGAAGGACCCCGGTCTATACGGCAAGCCGTTGACGAGACTCGCGGGGAGCAGACTCATTGCTTGGCGACGGACCTGTACCTCAAGCGTGGCAGTGTTGTTTTCCGTACTGAAGCATGGTTAGCGTATCCGACTAATTCTCGACGGCCGTGCCGCTGGGGATACCTTCGCGGGGCCGCCGTACGTGAATCTCGCGACAGGTTCAGCGTTTGCTTCGCTGCACGTGGACGCGGAGGGCCCGTTCTATTTCGGCACCATCGACATCGAGAATAATATTGACGCCATGGCTCTCTCTCACGAGTGCTGGCGTCTTTTGCGTCTGTCTCGGATTCGTGCCCGTCATGGAGGCATTGCCAGGATCATGAAGGTCAGTGCACCCAGGACTGCGATTACCTCATTCCTCGGCTTCGCGCCGCGCCAACGGGATGGAAGCATGGCCGCTGGATCCGCCAGCGGTCGGTGGATCTCCTTGCCCGTGTCGGCACGCGCTCTTGCCCATCCCTCGCCTTCTCGGACGCCCGTTTACCCATGCGACTGACGCGTGACTGTCGACTGGATGGCCGTTCTCCCACCCGGGGTGCGTTGACACCTTCGATCCGCTTGGGCATCGATCGTGCCCGGGCGGTGGCCGTCACCGAGTTGGTCGTCGTTTCTTTGCCGCGCGCGGGGCTCCGCGCGCGCGAGGCCGGGACCGCGGCAGGCGGCGTCGTCCTCGGCTAACCCACCAGCGAAAGTTTACGCTAGTGGCCTGGCGCATCGGATAGGGTTGTCTCGCGCTGGCCAGGAGTTCGCGACGGGGGATTCGACCCGAATCGTCACCACCGACTTCGCTGTTCGAGCTTTGATGCGTCACGAGCTCCTCAAGAGATTGCGCGCCGTTTGCGCCATCATCCAGCACGCAGGCTCGACGAGGTGGCCGCTGTCGGGCGCCGTCTGGCGAGACTTGCGCTGACGCGCCTCGCTCATCGTCTTTACCTATCGCGATTGCATTTCCGAGTGATGCAAAGCAGCCAGGTGCACCGATGCATCGCAGTAGGGGGTGGGCATTTCGGAGAAGGACTGCGACGCGAGCGAGATCGCCACGATCGGAAGGGCTTACGAGCGCTACCAATATTCTCGCGAGCACGAGGCTTTGCTTAGCCTTCGTAGTTCTGAACTAGCTTGCGAGGCCTGGGGTGGCATTGCAACGTGTCCGAGTTCTCTAGGAGTCCCCATCGACAGCTTCGACGAGGTATCCAGCGGTTTGCCAGATGAGACTTGGGCCACCGTCCTTTCCCGCTGCCTGGAAGCGCACAGAGGCTCGCAGTGTCCTGGAGGAGAGGTCCATGGCGTCGGTCGCCCTTCGAGCTTGTGATCGTTTGTTCTTACTTGTTTCGCCGATCGGCGCGGGCCCCCGAACCCCCCCTCTTCCCCCCCATGCAGTAGATCTTGGCTGTTTTGTGGCGCCTGTTTCGAGCGGGTGGATTCTCCACCAGAGGCAGCACTCCTGCAAACGGTCGCCCTAAGCAGAGGTCCTGAGCCAGACCCCCCCCTCCCCCCCATCCCGCCCAATGTCGAAACGCCGAATAAAAAAACGCTCACCTTCTGGGCCGGTGGATTCCCATTGCAAGAGGCACTTCGGAAACAGTGGCCCCATGACTCTCCCAGCTTGGCCCTTGCCGAAGGCGGGAACTCCAGTGCTGGACTTTCTCGGGTTTGTCGTCAAGTGGCGGCCGCGCCCCTGGCGCTCGGGATGCGCATCGTCTGGAGGCGGTGCCCGTCCGAGCTTGCCATCGCTGACGAGGCCTCGCGAAGCTTGGGGGCCTGCCGCACCAGAGGCACCAAACAGGGCCCCCGCCCTCCTGCACCTGCACTGGTCCCCTGGCAGCTTGTCGGGCCCGAGCTTCTGCGCGATCCCGCGGACCTTGCCGCGACCCGCTCGGCCTTCGCGGGCGATCCCCCCGACGTGGAGGCCCTCCGGCGCCAGCGCCGCGTCTGGGGAGCCGCGGGCGCCTCGCTTGCGGCACCCCGCCGCCCAGCCGGCCAGGCCCGCTCTCGGCGCGCAGCGCCGCGAGCTGCAGCCCGCGGCTCCGACGGCCCCCGCACGGGCAAGAGAGGCGGCCTGCCTGTAGCGCCCACGCCCCCGCGGGGCTCATCTCGACTCCTGCGACCCGGTTCGATTCGACGTCGATGGCTTCCGATTCCGATTCCGATTCGATTCGACTCGGGACGCCGATGTGGGTTCCGACTTCTTGTTGGAGGCATACTAGCCCGCCGATTTCCGCCGATTCGACTTTTCCCGACTCGGCTGCCGATTTCCGCCGATGCGATTCAGTTCGATCGCCGATCCGACTTGTCGATTCGACTCTGGGCTCTCCTGCCCAAGCGCCCAGCGTCTCAATGTTCGTCGAGCAGCGGGCGGTCACCCTCCGACAGAGCGTCGACTGCAGAGGAAGGAACACCTGGGTCAACGCCTGGCCTTGCGCGATGGGCCTGGACATCTTGACCGTCGCCCGCTTCTGGCGAGGCCCTGCCGCTGCTGCGGCGCCGCGCAGCGTTCCCCGAAGCAGGCCTGCCGTGCGGTGCCGATCGCGTGGCGGCCGCCCAGGTTTGCATCAGGCTGGCTCCGCTGGCAGCAGCCTTCTGGCCGGCGCGCGCGCAGCGGGCCCCCGAGGACCAGAGCAGACCGGCGCCCGGCCCGCTCGGCGCGGCGGGGAGTTTGCACCAGAGGCTCACGAACGGTATCATTCTCGGGGCCGCGCTCGCGGCCATCGGCTACGCAGACCCTCGGTTGGTTTTCCCCTGTGCGCCAAGAGTCTCGGCCATTGGGAGCTCAACGAGAGGCTCTGAATCTCCGCGGGCGCGGAGGCCGAATCAACGAGCAGCTCGCCCAGCCCCCCGCGCCCAAGCTCGCCGAGCTGCAGAGCCTGTGCTCGCAGATTGTACAGACCCTCGACGCTGGCTTGGCCGCTTGGCGGGCAGGCACTGCCCAGTCGTGCTAAAGATGCATTGCGGTTTAGGCTCTTTCTTAGCCGCTTGGGGGCGGCACCATGCGACCAAACATGTCCCCATCTTCGAGAGGGGCATCGCCAGCGTGACTAAGATAAATGGTTTCGCCCCGCCTGCTGCAGTTAATCTGGGGGTGGATCAGATCTGGCCTCGTAACTTGCGTCTTCCTGAGAGCCCCGTTCAACTGCTTTTCGGGGGCTCGGAGTAGGCCTGCAGGACCCCCTGCTTTCAGGTCAGCTCAACACCGCGAGGGCTTCTTGGACATCCAGGGGCGCTCTAAACAGGTCGCGGCGTTAAGTAATCGTATTGTTCCGCACAGCGTGTCTGCAAACAGTGCCTGCACTCAGGGGCTCTCACTTCCTTTCTAAGGTAACTGCGCCTGACTGCCGGTCTGGCCGGCTCGTCCCCGGCCGTCGTTGCCGTCATTTGAGTCTGAGCGCCGGTCCAGCGGGCACGTCGCCGCCAGTCGCCGCCGTCCGTCCCCGCCCCAGTGTCGGTCCGGCTGGCTCGCCGCCGCCGCCGCTCATTGCATTCGTCCTTTCGCATAGCATCGAGTAGCACAGCATAGTATAGTATAACATGCCATAGTTGCATTGCTTTGCATTGCTTTGCACTGCTTTGGACTGCTTTGCATTGCTCTGCATTGCTTTGCGTCGCAACGCATTGCTTTGCATTGGTTTGCATTGGTGCGCATTGCTGTGCATTGTTTTGCACTGTTTAACACGAACTTGCATGGCTTGGGATCGCTTGGTATTGCTCTGCATTGTTTGACATCGTTATTATTGCATTGATCTGCACTGCGGTGTATCGCGTTGCATTGTTTTGCCTTGCTTTGCATTGCATTGCATTGCTTGGCATTGTATTGCATTGCTTGGCACTGCTGGGCACTGCTTGGCATTGGGTTGCACTGCTTGTCATTATCGCGCATTGATTGGCATTGCGTTGCACTGCTGTGCCTTGCGTTGCACTGCGTTGCACTGTTTTGCGTTGCTTTGCACTGTGCTGCATTGCGTTGCATCGCTGTGCCTTGCTCTGCATTGCTTTGCGTTGTGTTAACATCTTTCCGCCACATAGGCTGCACCACATTAATTGTGCCAGCTAGAGTGCACCACGTTGATTGCACCGCCTAGGTTGCAAGGGTTCACTGTTCAGGGTTCACGTTGGCTAACACAAAGGAGCGCAAGCATTCCCGCATTCCTGACGATATTGGAAATCCTGCGTATTTGTATCTCTGGAAGCAGAACTGCGTCTCTAGACTTGCCCGCAGCCACAGTGTGCACGATCGCAATTTGACATGTGTCCCTTCGGCACTGCCTGGCGCAAAGCACCTCGCATCATGTATTCCGGCATCCAGCTGCACTCGGTAAGCGATCGTTGTGGCAACACAAGCGTGTGCAAGTTCAGCGGTTGCCCGCACCATGCTTTAGACATGCTCGGCCCGAAAATTCTGACTATACAAGCCGGGGTGTGTCCGTCTCCCCTCTGCGTCGCTCTCGTCAATGAGTCTGGCAGCGCCCTGGAAGAAGCTACTCTCGTATCTCGATGATCGCACTTGTAAGTGCCAGTGGTGTTGTCGATGTTCTCACGTTTTGGAATTCCCCACGTGCTTAGTGGGGTTCTTGTTGCCAGCAATCCTGTGGTGTTGGGTCCTCGTTTTAAGAGACAGCGCCCCACGTCCCTCCTCCTCTCCTCTCCTCTCCTCCTCCTCCCCCTCCTCCCCCTCCTCCCTCCTTCAATCCGCCTCGTCACCTCCCTGCGTTTCGCCCACCCAGGACAGCGTCTCGTGGCTCCATAGGGAGCTCCACCGAAGGCTCCAGTGGCACAGGCCGCATTCGTCACCGCTACCCAGGACAGCGTTTCGCGGCCCGCCCCATAGGGAGCTCCACCGAAGGCTCCAGTGGCACAGGCCGCATGCGTCACCGCCACCCATCGAACTCATATGTTCTGGCGCGTTTGGCAAACCGATGCTTGGAAAATAAGTTGGGCACGAAGTGGAGTGCGTCATCGAGCACCACTTCCTCCTTCCTCTCTAGGAAAGTATGAAACAATGGGTACTCAAACAAACAACCTCGGAGCGAGACTTGGAACGCGGGCAATGATGTGTTTCTTCTCCTCGTTCCTTCTCTTCATTCTGTCTCTCTTCCTTCTGCTCTCTGCCTCTTCCACCCCACTAGTCCTAGCGATGGCCGCCGTGCTGTCGGTGACGATGCCGGCGCTGGTCATCAGCGTGTGCCAGGCGAGCGTTGACCACAGGCCTTGGGCCCCAGAGGGAGGAGGTTGTACGAAGAGGAGGAGGTGGAGGAGGAGGAGAGGAAGGGGGTAGTGTAGCCCAAGCTGCATGGTGCAAACGATGAGGCGCATTTACTTATGGAACATTTGGACTCATAGACCCCTATGCTCGTGCAGACATCCACACTCCCACCCGCAACGTGTTGGCAAAGCTCCTACAGGCGGTGAGTGCAGCCACCCATCGGAGCTTGCTCGCGAATCTCAAGTGGCGCAGTGACGTGCGGATTCTGTTCATGCAGATCCGTGACTCGAGCGGGTGAGTGACGATGGTGACGGCAGCAAATACGACGACGACGATGACGATGCAGATGACGATGACGATATTCATGATGATGATGATGATGATGATGATGATGATGATGATGATGATGATGATGATGATGATGATGGTGATGGTGATGACGATGATCATGATCATGATCCTGATCATGATCATGATCATGTCGATGATTTTGATGTCGATGATGATGAGGAGGAGGGGGACGATGATGGTGGTGGCTACGGCGGCAGCGATGATGACAACGGTGACGATATCAGTGATGACGATGGTGAAGGTGACGGTGATGATGGCGCTGGCGATGATGACCACGACGATTACGATGACGATGGCGACGGCAATAGCAATGATGACGGCGGCGATGATGATGACGGAGACGCTAGTGAGAATGATGAGGAAGTCCGAACGCAGAAGTGTTAAATGTTCGACGCGTCTGTGTCTTTTCTTGGTTGTTGGGCGCGTTTGTGTGGAAATGCAACGAAACCCACTGCTTCTGGAGGGAGCTCGACGCGCGCGCGCGTGTGTCCAGCACTGTGTTGTTTGGCAAAGTTGGGGGGTGCGGACTGGTTGTGAGATGGGCTTGTTTTCCTCCACCACTACCACCACCATAAGTTGGAGTTGGGGAAAGAGGAGGAGGACGAGGAGGAGGCGGACGAGGAGAAGGAGGAGGACGAGGAGGAGGAGGTGGAGGAGGACCCCCTCCCCCTCCAACCTATGGTGGTGGTGGTGGTGGAAAACAGGCCCATCAGTTGTGGGGCTGTGGGATGTGATCGACACGCGCGCGCGCGTGTGGCCCGCGTGGTCTCATTTGGCATGAATCAGGCAGCGGCGAAGCGCCCTGGCGTGCCTATAGACCTACCAAACAGTGTCCTAAGAAACTTTTGTGGTCTGCACGAACGGTTCTCGGAACATTTCTGGCTGGGGCTGTCCTGCTTTGACCCATCGGGCTCACGTTCTAAGAACACGGTTTTTGTTATCGGAACATGTTTGGGTTCCACGAACACTTCGCGGGAGGCCTACAGGAATGCCAGGACGGTCGGTCCCTGCTCGAATGAAGGAAGAACACATGGTTTGTTCATGGTTTCAGCGAGTGCGCGCGCAGACATTCGACATTTTGTTGCTAGCTCTTGAACCGCTGTGTTTTGAACCGGTGCGAAGTCCATGAGGGATTTTGCATGATTTTGACATGCGCGCACGGGGGGCGCGCATGTAGCCCGGACGGGTCAGTTTGTTGAGGATTGATGCACAACGGTTTTCTCAGATCAACGCCTATGCGCCGCATCGTATCTTTCGCAGGAGCTGACCGGGAGGGGTCGATACTGGCCTGGCTGGCATGCTATCACTTGATACTTCGGATTAACGACCGTGCATAATAATCATGGAAGCCAGATGTGGAGGGACACCGATTAGTTCCTGGGGGGAGGGGGGGAGAGGGGGGTGGAGAACCCTATTCTTATTAGGACACGGGGAGCATACGCGGTGACACCTGTGGGGCGCAATCCACACGGCACCATTGGAGCGCCAGGCAGCGCGCGAGGCGGCCACGGGCGGTCACTTGGCGAAAAGCTTCGCAGCCGCCAGCCAGCGCGCAAGGCGGCCATTTGGCAGCCACAGGTGGGCACCTGGCGAGAGTCCGAGACGGCCACGGACGGGCGCTGGGCGGACATCCGGAAGCGCCCGCCAGAGCCTGGGCCGGCCACCAGGTGACCACGAGGCGACGGTGAGCGGGGACTGGGCGCAAACCCAGAACTGCCATCCAGCACACGGGGCAGGCACGAGGCGATCGCGGGTGGGCTCCAAGCGAAGACCCGAAACCAGTAGGAACCATGTGTGCAAGCATGTAAGGGGGGAACTTGGCATTTAGTTCGATTGGTGACCCATCCAGTGCAAGGCCATCGCAAACCGAACATGGTACACGTCCCACCGCCAGACCGCATCATCACCCGAAAGGTGGCGTTCAAGGGAGTATTCGAAGGAGACTCGTGCGTTTATTTGCATTTGGGGTATTCGGTCCCGTCCTCCATACTTTCCGTTATCCGTTGACTCTGGCGTAGTCGCATGGTGTGGTTTCGGACCGACGGTTTTGTGTCCTGCGGCATCTCTTCTTGGGCGAACGGCCGCGGAATCTTTCAGTTTGTGGGCTAGATGATCACAGCTTGAATTCTAGATGCTTCGCGCAACTCCACCAGCCCATCCAGAAGTGATGCCCAGACGAGTTGCCCTGATCAGGGAAGTGGAGGAACATGCACTGGTATAAGAGGCTGCGTAAAACGTCGTACCCCAAGAGGGGGAGGATGGAGGAGGAATCGGAGGAGGAGCATGAGGAGGAAGAGGATGATGATGATGATGATGATGATGATGATGATGATGATGATGATGATGATGATGATGATGATGATGATGATGATGATGATGATGATGATGATGATGCTGATGATGATGATGATGAGGAGGAGGAGGAGGAGGAGGAGGAGTGAGAGGGAGGAGGCGGAGGAGGAGGGAGAGATTGAGGGGGAGGAGGGAGTTGAATGGAGAGG